TACAATTGTACATGTAAAGAGAACTTTAGTGGAGCTAATTGTGAAGAACGTAAGCAATATATTTTATATTTATTGCGAAACATTTAAAATTATTTTATGAATATATCACTGGCATTTCCTTACATCAGATTTTTAATTGCTTTTACCAGAAACTAAAAATCCATGCATCCCTGATCCCTGCAAAAATAATGGAATTTGTAGCTCTGATGGAGACAAATACAATTGTATATGTAAAGAGGACTTTAGTGGAACTAATTGTGAAGAACGTAAGTGATATATTTTATATTTATTGCAAAACGTTTAAAATTATTTTATGAATATATCACTGGCATTCCCTTACATCAGATTTTTAATTGCTTTTACCAGAAACTAAGAATCCATGCATCCCTGATCCTTGTAGAAATAATGGAATTTGCAATTCTGATGGAGACAAATACAATTGTACATGCAGAGAGAATTTTAGTGGAACTAACTGTGAAGAGCGTAAGTAATATTTTTTTTAAATTATTGAAAAGAATTGAAAATAATTTTATGAATATATGAGTGACATTCCCTTACATCAGATTTTTAATTGCTTTTAGCACAAACTAAAAATCATTGCATCTCTAATCCCTGCAAAAATAATGGAATTTGCAGTTCTGATGGAGACAAATACAATTGTACATGTAAAGAGAACTTTAGTGGAGCTAATNGTGGAGCTAATTGTGAAGAACGTAAGCAATATATTTTATATTTATTGCGAAACATTTAAAATTATTTTATGAATATATCACTGGCATTTCCTTACATCAGATTTTTAATTGTTTCTACCAGAAACTAAAAATCCTTGCATCTCTAATCCCTGCCAAAATAACGGAATATGCAGTTCTGAGGGAGACAAATACAATTGTACATGTAAAGAGGACTTTAGTGGAACTAATTGTGAAGAACGTAAGCAATATATTTTATATTTATTGCAAAACATTTAAAATTATTTTATGAATATATCATTGGCATTTCCTTACATCATACTTTTACTACCAGAAACTAAAAATCTATGCATCCCTGATCCCTGCAAAAATAATGGAATTTGCAGTTCTTATGGAGACAAATACAATTGTACATGTAAAGAGAACTTTAGTGGAACTAATTGTGAAGAACGTAAGCAATGTATTTTATATTTATTGCAAAACATTTAAAATTATTTTATGAATATATCACTGGCATTTCCTTACATCAGATTTTAAATTGTTTTTACCAGAGACTAAAAATCCATGCATCCCTGATTGGTTAACATTTATATTCTGCTAATGTTTGTTTTGTTGCAAGTTTATTCATTTGACATCTATCTTCCGTTTTGAGAACATGTTTTTTCGTCTCTGAAAGGTTAAGAGAATTTTTAATTAAAATAAATTTGAAGAAACTAGAAATTCGTAGACACTGAAATAAAATAGAAATATCTTTGTCTTTATATGAAGGTATGTGAATTAATATGAATTAATTCACATACTTAGAGATGTATGTAAATTAGCTTATCTTTTTTTTATTTTTATCTTTTAGCTTGTTTTTGTGAATTAACTTATTTATTATCTTTTGCGTCAGATATGCTGTATTTTTTTTAAGCTAAAACATTAGCATCGAGTTAAAGATTAGTACCCTACCACACTATTTAACATTAAAGTAAAAGATGCTAGGCCTATTTTACAACCAAAACTTTCGGAGAGACCTTATATCTGCGTGAAATAAACAAATATGTAGTATTACTTATTTCTGTAGGTTTTATTATACTATACCACTAATTGCGCCTAAGCATTATTAAATTGCCTTTTAATACTTATTTTTCAAAAAAAAAATTTGGTAGCATGATCAATTCATATATTAATATCCACCGTGATAATTTTCATACTTCACATTTCTCTGTCCCGATTTTCCTTTTTTAAACAGTTTTACTAGTTGTTTAATTATTTATTGTTGTTTACTTATGGTTTAATTATTGCTCGATTTTTAATTCATTATAACTTTACATTTCATTATTACTCGTATATTTTTAAATTTATCATCACTTTTTGTTTAGCTTATCAATTTATTTATTTTCTCATTCATGTATTCATAAGACTATAGTTCCATTTTCAGTGAACTGTTTTCCGAATCCTTGCAAAAACAATGGCAGTTGTGAATCTATGAGGGGAAATGACCGTCCATATGCATGTTCATGTCAGAACGGGTTTTATGGAAAGAACTGTGAATTGAGTAATTTTATTCTCAATTCACCTTTTTTGTGAAATTCTTGATTAAAATTTTAATATTAATTTGCCCTGACTGTAAAATCCAAGGACATATTTTCTAAGAAAATAATAATACAGGGTTATTCATAATTCCCT